TTCATGAGGTGATTTATGTACCGTCTCAGTCGGTCATCGGCCGGTGGTTCCTCACCCCATCCTTCCTGATCTGATAGGGCCTCCAGCTCCAATTTCCATATGGGTTTACGATTGCCTCAGGTGAGGGTTACTTCCCTGGTTCTTCCGTCCCAGCTGTCTCTCTTTCTGACGCCTACAGACCACCGGGGCTTTGTGGAGGTTTCGTAGGCAGCTTCGCTATCTTCAATGGGGTGTACTGAGTCAGTATCTGGCTGGGTAACTCTCGATGTTTCTCCCCAGCATTCGGCTTCCCCTTGGTCCTTGCTGTACTCAGACATTTTCCTTTTTTGCAGGGTTCCCTCGGTAGAGTGAAGGTTTTTTTAAAAAAAAAATCCTCTCCATGCTGACCTCTATTATAGACACTGCTTTATGTCAGGCTACAGAACTTTTTCCCATTCAATTAACAAGAATAAACTTCTGAACACCAAATGTATCAAAAGGAATCCTTTATTGAGATGAAACAATTCATGTAGGAGTTCAAAGCAGCATCTGAGGTCCCTCAGGCGTACAGGGATAGATAAGGGAGTTTAGAAACCCCACCCCTTATCTCAATGTGTATTTGGTGAAACAAAAGCCAGTATATTAATTCCCCCCTCCACCCCTTCTGTAGAAACGATCTTTTTCACAGTTTCCCAGGGCATACCTAATTTACCGCTACCCCCTTTTTAAAACAAACTTTTCCAGAGATTCCCAGGACACATCTCACTGCGGAATTTTTATGATCTTCTCATCTCCTGGCTGTGCCTCTCAGAGGTGATAGGTTCCGGCCATCTGGCTTTTTCCCTTCCATTGTATCATGTGTGGGTTGTACAAATTCGATATAAGATTAAATATATTCAGGTTACATCAAGAAAGGATTTCTTTATCAGTCTCCCCCCCCCCCGCCTTTTCTTCTTCCAGTGAAGAAATGACAGATACACGGATGATTTGGCCACAGTGATTTATTCCTCCATTTTCTCAATGTTTTGTAAGAATTGCTAATAATAAAATAGCAAAGAAAGCTCTAATCTGTATTCAAACTAGGGTCTCTTCTGCATAAAAGAAATCATTACATCTTCAAATAACTTTTGAATTTCAGCTGATGCATAAGGCATAGTATGAACAATCAGTAGGCCTCAAATTTTTGTTTGTTAGTACAGTAAATAAAAGTGAAACTATTAAATTTAAGATTCTATCATATTAGTATTCATGTCTATTTAAATTACCCTTCGGTTTGTTATAATAATATATTATCTTGCCTTTTGTCATTTGGCAAAATGGAAATCAAATCAAGTAAATTGAATAAGATTTCATACAAATCACCTGTTGTGAGGAACAGAAAACTATCCTGAGATGTTGAAAATGTTTGAATGGGCAGGAGAGATTTTGAGTTTATGCTTGAATTAAAGAAATGTTCTAGGGAAGATCATTACCTGCATCATTAATGGATCAACTTGAGATGTTTGCTGTGGGAAAAATTGAGACTTCTCTCCAGTTGTTGGCATGCCAGCAGGTAACTAAGTTCCTCTCATCCAAGAATGTGAAGTGTGTATATTTTCCCACATCCTTCTTTTATCTTTTATCAAATATTCTATCCTCTCCTTTTTGGAAAAAAAAATCTGATTCAGTATAATTTGATTTAAATTGTTCAATAACAAAAGGGAAATTCAAATAGTTGATTAGTTTAGGTACTCATTCTTATGTATATAATGAGCATTTTTCTAATTTTCCAGGACTATGGAATCTGGAAATATAACTAAAATTTGAGAAGATTATAAAAATAACTAAAAAGAGGCCTTTTACAATTAATTGAGGACAAAGATTTGATGCTTACCAGGAGTGGGGATGTGTGAAGATACAACGTCCATTGACTTAGAACTTTTGATTGATAATTGTTATTTTGTCATTCTCTAGCAGATAAACAACTGGGATAATTTTTCTTTGTATATTAGAAATTGCAATTGAGCTGCACTTGTTTTGCAATGGTTACTTATCAATTAAAATATTTCTTCAGTTAATTAACGTCATTGTCTTTAGTAAAATACTGGAAAAAAATGACACAATAACTGATTTGGGAAAATAGGTGTATTCACAAGTAGAATCAATCTTATTGGCAAGTTTATAAAAGATTGGAAAAATGCCATATAATAATTGTATATATCAAACACCACTATTTTAGTTTACTCAGTGTAAAATAAACTGTTTAAATTATTAATACAGCATTTAATCTCAGTAAAACACGAATTTTAAATCAACATAATATCAACATTGTATTTCCAATTAAATCCATGGTATTTTCTACTGCTCCTGCTTTGGACTTATTTTCTACAGAACTGTTATGAATACAAGACAATTTTATTAATATAAAGTTCGTTGGACTTTTTATAATTTTAAGATTTCTCTTCATAGAGAAGTCTTTAAAACTATTTCAATAAGTTTGTTCAGATTGAAGTCATATCATATCATATACAGTATTGGTAATTGAAAGTATTTATTATTTATTTATTTGTTTGATTTATATTGCCACCTATTCGCCCATGGCAACACAAGGCGGCTTACACAATGTAAAATCATATTTAAAACAAAAAATAAAAATAAAAACAATAAGAACTAACAAAAAGAATCAAATAAATTAGTAAAGTACAATAGAACAAAATTTGGGAAAACAAAAAACAAAACAAAAAAACCAAAAACCAACTCCCACCCCCCACCCCGATGACAGTGGATCACAGTAGCCATCTGATGGGTTCCATCCCTTTCTGGGTTCCCCAGGCCCGCTGGCAAAACCAGGTCTTCAGTGCCTTTCAGAATAGTATTAATGAGGGGGCCATTCTAATCTCTGGGGGAGTGATGTTCCAGAGAGATGGAGCCACCACAGAGAAGGCCCTTCTTCTAGGTCCCACCAGGTGTATCTCTGGCAAGAGATGTCACTGGCAAGAGATGTTTCCTCAGATAACCCCGACCCAAGCCATGAAGGGCTTTAAAGGTGACAACCAGAACCTTGAATTGCACCCAGAATTAAATTGTCAACCAATGCAGCTCCTGCAGGAGAGGTGATACATGTGCACACCGGGGTCTGCATAAAACCATGTGGGCCGCTGCATTTTGCACAAACTGGAGCTTCTGAATGCTCTTCAGGGGCAGCCCCATGTAGAGCACATTGCAATAATCAAGATAGGAAGTCACCAGGGCATGAGCGACTGTGAGTAGGGACCGCAGATCCAGGAAAGGGCGTAACTGGTACACAACTCGCAGTTGCGCAAAGGCCCTCTTGGCCATGACCGCCACCTGCTTTTTGAACAGGATTTGTGAGTCCAGGAAAACCCCTAGATTATGTACAGGGTCTGTTTGGGGTAGTGCCACCCCATCCAAGACTAAAGGTGGTAATTCTCCTTGAACCAATGAACCCCAGACCCAGAGCCACTCGGTCTTGCAAGGGTTTAGTTTCAACCCATTGCTCTGCATCCAGCCCCTAACAGCCTCCAGGCACTGCGAGAGGGAGGACACAGCAACACTCAACTCACCACGGGCCAAGACATACAGCTGAGTATCATCAGCATATTGGTGATACCTCAGTCCATGATGATGGATGATCTCACCCAGCAGCTTTATATAAATGTTGAACAGGAGCGGAGAGAGTACCGAGCCCTGCGGAACCCCGTAAGGCAGTGGGCGAGGGTTGGATCTCTCCCCTCCTATCAACACTGACTGAGAGTGGCTGCAGAGGAAGGAAGTGAACCAAGACAGCACAAGGCCTTCCACTCCCATCCTCCAAAGCCCCCCCCCAGGAGAATCCCATAGTCAATGGTATCAAAAGCCGCTGAGAGGTCAAGTGGAGCAAGGATGGATGCACTACCCCCATCCCACTCCCACCAGAGATCAACTAAAAGTGCAACCAATGCTGTTTCTGTCCCAAATCCAGGCCTGAATCCTGACTGGTAGGGGTCAAGATAATTCGTTTCATCCTGCGCGACCACCTTCTCAACAACCTTTCCCCAAAAGGGAAGACTGGAGACAGGTCAGAAATTATCCAACCAGGTGGAGTCCAGTGATGGCTTCTTAAGAAGAGGGCGGACCACAGCCTCCTTAAAGTGCTGGGGCACTGTCTCCTCCTGCACCTGCATTAATCACTGCCAGAGTCCACCCGCCTGTCACGTCCTGGGAAGCTTTCACAAGCCAGGAGGGACATGGATTTAAAAGCAGGTGCTTGAGCGCATACTCCCTAGGATCCTGTCTACTTCCTCAGAAGCAACAGGGTCAAACCGTTCCTGGATAACAGGGCAAGAACCTGCCTCAGAAGCTTCCAATATGATTATAGTTCCCACTAAGTTTTGTGTGAAATTAGTTTAATTGAATTATCCTTCTCCCTGTCCCCTTCCTCCCTCCTTCCCTTGCCCTTTTCCTTCTTCCACTTCTTCTCCCCTGGCCCACCTTGCAGCCCTTGCTTATTTTTCCACCATTAGTCACCTCGTTCTCATGGTGAAACTTCAGTAAATGAGGAGAAGAGTGCTTTTATCAATTGATTTATTGCAGGGCCTGATGCTAATAACACCGAGAAATGTTGAGTAGCCCAAGAACCTATGTCTCTTCATTCCTAGTCCAGCAACTTAACCACTATATCATGCCAGCTGCCAAATAAGTTTAATTTATGATTTGCATAATTTTAAAATAGAATGTTTAAATATTTACTGTATTTTCAACATTTTAATAAAGTTGCAAAATGAGATACTTAGAAGGAATTTACATTCTGTGCCAGAATTAATTTACTTTCTTTGAAGTCATTCGTTTTGCCAGCTTTCAGTTCAACTGTTCAGAATTTCACAGAATTTCTTTATAAACAAAACTGTTCTGGTCTTTAAATATCTTTAAATCACAACATGTAAATTACATTATTTGACCTGCAATATTGCAATGCAACTATATTGACAGAAAGTTTTGTTCTTTCTGATGTATACCTAATGTCTATCTTAAAAACATTACAGTTTCAACAGTCATCTGATGAGGAAGATAGAAGTGATAGTTATAATACCGAAGAACAAGTAGAACAAGAACAAAAAGGGAAACATCAAGAAAAACAATTTAATACTGCTCAGGTTCCTAAAGAGGAAAAGAGAAATACATATTTTGAGAATGGAGAAAATAATCATATGGCTGTAGAAATCATAGAGGTAAACTCTGTTCATTTTTAGTTAAGTTTTTGAAAATGAAATGCTATCTTTCTCATTACACACTCTAATGTTAGTTACATTGTCAAATTGCCAATCTTCCCAGTCTTTTTTTTTGGGGGGGGGGGGGGGGGGGGGGGGGGGAGAGAAATTAAGCTCTTATCTCTTTCTAAAAATTCTTTAAATGGCAAAATTCTATTTTGCAGTGTCTGGCTAATGTGAAATTTTGATGTGGAGATAATTTGATTCATAAACTTTGATTCATAAACTTAGCAATAAAATGTCTGTCTTCTTATCAAAGGATCAAAAAATGTCTGATGAGGAAGCAACTTGTATTAGCAGTGATGATGACAATGAAAAAGTCCATGATGAAAACAAAGATTGTGAAAAAGAAGAGAAAGAACCAGATGCAGCAGAATATTATGAAGATCAAGCTCTTAATGAAGAGGAACTAAGCAGTCTATTATGTGAAAATGAAGAAAATAATCTTATAAATATGGAAACAACAGAGGTAAATATTTTGTTCATTTTCAGTACTGAATTTTTTTGGAATTATAACAGCTACTTCTTGGAGGAATAATATAGATCACAGTGTAAGATATTTTTATCCTTTTACTACATGAGAAGATTCATTATTCAAAAGTTGTAATTTGTCTTTAAACAAAATTGTTAATTCTTATTTCTAAATCTTCTCACTGTAATTATTTACTTAGTTGCCTATATTTAAACTTCTATAAACTTCATCATGAATCCAATTCTTAAGGATTTCTTATCTACAGTCTTATGGACTTCTATGAATGAATTTTTTCTCTTTTTCTCTTCCCCCTTTTATAGGTAGGCTTGAATTTCCAACATTGTATCAATTACTAGGGTTAGCTATCCCCACTTTTGACAGTTTGATTATGGAGACACTCTTCAACCTGAGTTCTAGCCATCCTTCAGCCAATGTTTAGCCTAGATTTTACAGGATATGATTTTCAATAAATTTAGCATAAATGTTTATGAAAAGGAGCATGCAACTGTTGTGATAATATTAAAAGTGGTAAGAGTGTAGTGTAAAATGGTATAACTGAAAAAATGCTAAAATACATATTTGACTTCCTCATAGACTACTGTGCAATTTGCTTAATGTGTAAAAATTGTATCTTTGTCTGAAGGTTGAAAGAATGCTGTTATTATTTTCATTTACAAAGGAATAGGTAGCTAAAGTGAATGTACCCAAGAAGTAGTTAATTATGACTGTACCTTAACAGATTTCTGTGTGAAAGTTATAAAATGTTATAATTGGCAAAACTAGCAAGTGCAATGCAGCTTTAAACTGAGTAGGGAATAGTGTGATGGATGTGTTTATATACTTATATATAATTAAAAAATAAGTTTACAAATTCTTGAAGGTGTTTTGCTTGTTTCTTTCTTTTAGAAAGATAAACCTATTCCAGATAATAGCCCAGTTAAACAAGGTAAGAAATAATTCAGTTTTCTCTTTTAAACTTTCATTCTTTCATTTCTAGAAATGTTGATTAGTTCTGTTCAAAGGAGATTGTTTATAGAAGCATTCTGCTCAAAATGTCAGTTTCTAGAAATATTCATAGCTCTTCCCAGGTTGATAATGGTTATATCAGCCTCTTCTGTGAAGGTTTCTGCTGTTCCAATTTAATAGCACAGCTTTCACCATTTTCTGATACACTCACAGCAATTGCATTCAGATGAGAAAGTTTGATGTCTACTGTTAAATAGTTCAGGAAAGGCTATTTGTAGCATTTGTTCTATATTCTGTACAGTGGTAGATTTGTCTTCTGTACAGATGCAGATAGATAAACTCCACAAAACATCCATAACAAAATACTTTTATTGGTTCATCAGGTATCCTCATAACTCATAACTTGTGATGAACATAATTTGTGATGAAGTTCTTCGTTAATGACCAATCCTTTGCGTATCTGTCTTGTAGGTAAAAAGATGATTATCTGCTATCCTTTTTCTCTCATCTCATAGCGGTAGAAATAGAACCGTTACCACGAGTCCATGAGTTCAGCCAAGAGTGAGGAAACCTCCTCCAACCCATCGAGGGTCAATTTAGTGACCAATCAGGATTACAGATGTGGTCACGTGATATAGACTTCATTTCCCAGGATACCTTAACTACATTTACTATGATGCATTCCCTTAAGGGGATAGCTCACAGTTGCTACTTAACTATCCATTTCCCATACACTGGCTGGACAGCACACTCCCCGCCTGGAATTGTAAATTCCACTATTAAAAGAAGAAGAAAAAAAAAACTATAAACTAAGATAAGCAGTAGACAGTAATACTATCTGTATAGCAGATAACTATATAACTAAGATAAACAGTAAGCTATATAACTAAGAGAAACTGTGAACATTAATAAAGCATCAAACAAAGCAAAGCATGCAAAGCTTGAGGTTCAATCTTCAAGTTCAGCCTCGGTGCAAGTCTGGTGGTCGCTTCTGGTGGCCTTTTAGGGTTGACAGGTACTCTTGGTGTCAATGATGAAAGTCTGGTGGTCTCTTCTGGCGGCCTTTTAGGGTTGGAACAGTACTCTTGCTTCCACGGTGTCAAAGAGCATTGGGAAGCTGTTGGAAAGGGTGTTGCAGAGGCATATGCCCGTGTAAAGCGTCTTAGTGGATGTCTGGTGGTTGCTGGCGGCCGTTTAGGGTGTTCTAGCAAAAGTGTACTGATCCCCGGCGGCCTTTTAGTCTGGAACGTCATTCTTGTTTTTGATGGTGCTAAAGGGCATTGGAAGGCTGTTGGAATGGATGGTGCTAAGGCATTTGCCTGGGTTGAGGCCTGCATCTGATTGACACTGACAATTCCTGAGATTCCCCAACCCAGGTCTGTCTTGAAGGCAAAGGATGAGTATCTCGGGCCTCTGACTACTTCAGTTTGCGCTAAGGCATCAGGGACATCGAATCCCAGCAAGAGCAAAATCTTGGCTTCAGGATCAAGGGCGGGAAACAGATGAGCCATATGTTTCAGGTGAGGTAGGCTGCTAGCTACCTCTGGTATTGCAATGTGGTTGCGATCATCTGGTGTCCCATTCCATTCCAGCACAGGTGGCAGTAGAAACTGGGAACTTCCATCTAATGACTCTATACAGAGTCCAGTAGCTTCTCTCCCCACTGTGCGTCTCGGTGTGGTGCACATTGATATCTTGAAGTGCACTTCCTCTTTCTGAACATCAAAGAGGTCGAAGAATTCGGACTCGGCTAGTGAGTGATCGCTCTGAAGGTCCAGTATTACATACATCTTCACTGCTTCTTCTGGGTAGACTTTGGCTAAGCAGATCTGATGGCACGCGTGAGGGGCTGGTGTGCCATTGCACACCTCTGTGCAGTTGACACTCACCACTGACTCTGGGTGTGCTTCTGTAGCACATTGAGGCTCCTTGTTCAAAGGAGGGCTATGAGATGTCTACAATGGTGGATTGGCGGCTGGATGAAGCGCGGTCGGTGCTGGTTACTATTGCATAAGTAGCAATGCACCTTGGCTGTGCAGTACTTGGACGGGTGTTTGGATTTGCAACACTTGTAGCAGTATTGGTACTCCCTTATCAACTCCTTTTTGGGGGTCAGTGATTTTGCTGCAAATCCAGTGCAGCTGTTCAGCGAGTGACGAGTGTAGTGCATAGGACAAAACTGATTTCTCTTTGGAGTAGGAGATCTAAATTGGGTTGGATGGGATGAATTAGCTGAGGAGTGTGCCTCTGTCTTATGGACAGCCATGAAGGGACTTTCCCTTGCAGTGTGCATAGGGCCTGTGTATGGTTGCTGTTGTATCATGTTTCATTGGGAGGACTAACAGCTCTGAGTACGTGGGCCCAGGAGGAGTTGCACACTATTGCCTGGTGGGCCACAAATTCTTTGGGAATGGTAGAGGGTAAATGGTAAAAGTTGTGGCGACCCTTGGCCATGAAGGCATCGGACACCTGGAGACATTGTTCAATTAGCACCTGCAGGAGTTTTCAAACGATCTTGTTTTGCATGTCACCTTGGTCAAGACAAGCGAGTCCTGGTAACTTGGGATCCCGTTGTGCCGCTTTCAGTTGTATGAGTATATTAGAGAGTTCCATGATCAGGTGAGCCTTGCCAATAGGAATTTTAGGAAATCTGTGTAGGCTATCCAGGAGCATTGATTGTACATCTGAGGCAGCACCGTATAGATTGTCGAGTCTTTGCCATGACAACCGTAGGGCAACATCTGGGTTGTCTATGTGAGAGGCATAAAGTGCCTTTGTATCTCTGGCAGACTGTGGCCCTAGCCACGCCACCAAGTGTACAAGTACTTCATCGGATTTCAGGCGTGCAGCCTGAATGGGGTGCAGGAAAACTTTCTTCCATAGGAGATATTCGCTGCCTGGCTCGTCAGAGAATTTGTATACACCATTAGCGGCCAAATCTAGCTTTCCTCTGCTTACTGCCCACACTCTCCAGTAGTCAGCATCGTCTGTAGAGTTGCATTGAGGCATTGACATAGAGGGGTCTTCCCTTGGATTCTTATAGGGTAGGTTCGAGTTGTACATCAACGATGGGTTGTAGCCTTCCTCCCAGTGCTTACAGAGGATGTCGTTCTGCCATTCCAGAGGCGATGGTGGAGCTCCATGCTGCTGTGTAGGCTGGCCATGGTTATCTTGTTGTGCCTGTGAGTTCGGGTAGTGTGGAGGTTGTGGCTGGAATGGTACTGCTTGTGGATTGAGTGTGGCAGGTGTCATCAGTGGCATGTCTACTTGTGGAGAAGTCGTCATGATTACTGGTGGGCTAATTTGCTCACCTGGCAGGCCATGAGATGTTGGAGTAGGGTTGCTGGTGCTGGGAAGAGAATCTCAGACCTTAGTACATACAACATCAGTTGGGGAAGGTTTGCTGTTAGTGGGAAGTGAATCTCGTACTTTAGGTCGTACGTCAGTTGCGTAACTGACATGTGGAGTCTGTGGTTGAGATTCATCCCTGTGCTTCCTTGGTTGTAGGAGACTGCTAGGCAACTGTGGCGGTTCCATCTGCTTATTTTGTAGCAAGTGCTGCTCATTCACGTAGGCTACACAAGGGGGCACTAGAGATTGCGTAGCAAAGACTGAAGACTTGAGGGCTAAACGCAGAAATATGTGTAGTGAGTCAGAAGACTTGGAGGCTAAACACAGAAATATGCCTGGAAGACGCTGTTGCAACGCCTATGTTAGGTTGCAGCTAATCTTGAAACCTTGAATTAAATCAATTAAATTGTCCACAATAGTTGCAAAAAGGGATTATCATTGCAAGTACGTATTGGAAAACTCTGGGAAATTTCTCCTTGACCACCAGATGGTGCTGTGGGATGCTTTGCTTGAGTCTGGGGGGGTGAACCACAGAGGAATTTATTGTTTTCTTGCTGGAAGAAAAACCAATCAATTGAATACTGCACTCCAAAGTTTTGCTTGTAGTTTTATATTTTTTTTAATTCTTTAATAAAGATAGGGGAACATGAAGAAATTTAAATGTTTTGAGCAGAAAGAGAAATTGTTCCTTTTTAAAACGTTGCTTGGATTAGCCTTGTGTCTTGGGAGGGGGGGAATGGGCTTCTTTGCTTTGAAGATGGTCTGTCAGTAATGAATTATGACCCCCAATAAAATGGCCAGAGTAGTTGTAAAAATATCTGGAGAGGCTTCTCGTATTGCCTTTGAGCTGGAAAAATGCAAAGTCTTTCAGCTGGAATGAGCAGGGCAAAGTTAATTTTCCTTTCTAGAAATGCCAGCAAGATTTCTGAAACTTTCTCATTGCATTTGGAAAGGGTTTGTAATTGGATGAATACAGGGATGGATGAGAGGTACTTGGCCCCTCCCTTTGTTTCACAAATTGGTTCTTTTTGAGTTGGTTCTTCTTTCACTGAAGAGAAAAAAAGGGGGGGTGAATTTGCCCCTTCCTGCAACTACAATGTGTCTTTATCAGGTTGTAAATTGGCTGGAGAGGGTCTATTTTATGGGTTTGTCTCCCATCCAGATGAGCAGAGCAGAATCAGCTTTTGTTTCCATTTAGGAATACAAACAACATTTCTCAAACTTTCCTACTGCGTTTGTAAAGTTTGGTTTCTGGCTCTCCTTGTCATACAAATTGAGTCTTTGTGATAGCAGGAAGACAAATTGAGCAGAGAAGGGGGGGCGAGTTACTGGTTTTCAGCTCTGTGGTTCAGAAAGAGTTCTCTTTGTTTCCAGCATGTAGGGGAATTCCAGCCCCTCCCACCATCCAAACAGCATGTAAAGGGTTTGGTTGCTGACAGAGAGAGAGAGAGAGAGAGAGAGAGGGAGGATGAGAAAATGCAGGCTTAGATTAACATTGCATATTCACTCCTGGCTTCAATATTACTTTGCTTTATCACAAGTCCAAATTAACTGTCTTTATACTGATGGGCTTCAGGATTTCAAATTAACCATCTTTTTACTGTTCTGTAATCTGTACAGTGGTAGATT